CCTTCACCAAGTTACTTTTTCCATTCCGATTGAGGCACTGTATTCCGGCGACGAAAATCGTTCACCTACTATTTGAGTCTCGATATGCGTGGAATTTACAACGACACCGGCAGTATGTTGAATATCTTTGAATTCTACATTTTGGCGGATCAAACATAACTTGAATTTGATACGATATGTGATTTGTCTTGTGTTGTTCAGCTTTCGAATTTCTCCGAAGACTTCCTGCAAATATTTGTGCCAATAGGCAGTTGTAAATTGCTCAATCGGAACAGTCGCACTGCCATTTGCTTCATAGTAATTCTTTCACAAACAGTTTTGATGCATTTTCTGAGAATCGGATAAATATTCATGAACTCTTAGTAGCTATATTTAAGAGTCATGTCAAATTTTGTTTCATTCGTTTTATATATGTGACCCTCATTTGGTCCACAATAAGACGACTAAGACCGTTTAAAAAATGGTTCAAAAGTAACTCTGGATCTATTTTTTCTTCTGCATGTTCTTGGAAACTTAGACATGTTGGTTTTATTTTATCTTCTGAAACATCGATATTAAAAAACAACTTTGTAAGACCATTAAAATACATAGAACGGGTCGGTATGATGGGTGGGCGAGTTAAAGCCAATTAGATTGGAATATGCGACTATGTATTTTCAAATTCCGATGGTAGAAATGGATGTAGACAATTCCAAAAGTCCAATAATTCTGGAAGTATATTTACCATTAATACATTTTTATAAATTCTGCTGTCAATGTGTATACATTTTCAGTTAAAGCACCATCCAAAAGGAATCCATTTGATTTGAACATATAACTCAATTTGTAATACGTTGAAAAAACGTCACTTTCATATATCGATTTTTTTCTAATAATGATTGCATTTTTATGTGATTGCACTTCAATATACGATTTGTTGTTAATTAATTGTTGGCACACCTTGTTCTCTGAAAGCCCTTATGCAAATCGTAATTATTTGAAATTGCATAAACCTTTTTGTCTCATACACACAAAAACACAAATTCCCAATGTATTCTAACCCAACGTAGCTATTCTAAATATTCTCAAATTGACATTTGCATATATTGGCATTATGGTTAACCGCAAAAAAAAAATAAATAAATAAGAAAACTGCAACGAAAACAGCATCGACTACAGCTATCAAATGTGACAGAATAAATAGCGAAGCGATAATTTACAATGACTATTTCTGCAAGGTATAAAACCAATCTGAAAAGCAGCAAAAAATAGAATCGATTAAATCTCTGAACAAAATCGAACACAGCGAGAAAAAATAAAAGATAGATCGATCTCGAACAATCATACCAACGTTCAACACCAACACCAACCAGCGCTAACCACGAAGGAAACAAATAGCAAATGTCAGCAAAAGTAGTCGATTCAAATCTTAGTTTTTACCGCCCTTTTGCATTCTAATTACGCTATTCGCCTGTATCCATACGAGTAGAGTTGTGGTACACCTTCCCAATCCGTTTAGGAGTGATCTGTTCATCAATCATCGTTTGTCGCTCGCCTAGGCAACAACAAAATATCTCACCCTACCTATTTATCTATCTTGGTATCTATCTGCAGCTTAAGTTGTGCAATTAAAGCCATAACAGCTTCTAATGGCAAGCAAAACGCCGCCACCACCAACGATAAAGTCGTTCAACACAACTGTGAGCAGAGATCAAGCCAGCCATGAGTATTGAACAATCTTCTCACCCTATAGTTTATGATCTCAGATTAATATCTGTCGTTTGGTCTAGCTACGATAGGAGTATGCGGCTCCAATCATTGTCCCATATGTGTATGGTATCATCGTAGGTAGCCGTCTCGTTTGTTGTTTTTCGTTCAATGTTATTAAGCAATAATTATTATTCCTCTGCTGTTATTTTAACAATAAATATTTTAAATATCACTAACAACACCTAAATTAAAACCAGTAATGAAAGTAGTAAAGTCGGACTGGCCGACTATATGATACCCAGCTATAGGTCACCATTTACTTAGGTCACCATTATATGAACTGGCGACATAGCGCACCGTTTTCGATCTACACCATTAAATTTTTACGTTTTTCTTGGAGAATCGTAATCAGCGTCCTCAAAACCCTTATATGCGATATTTATTTATTTCATAAACCCATTGCCCATAGTGCAGTTTAGTAAATCTAAATCGTCTTATAATTCCATTATCTGTAGCATAAAAACCCAAAATATTACAGGCAATTCGGTTGAGAAACGTGTCCTACAGCCCCAAAATGGTAAATTTAATATACTCTGCACTTTATAGTAAAGGATATAAAAAGGAGTTACATGGCTTCATCCAAAAGTGGGCGAATGTTAACTATTCGAATGAAAAATGTGTACATTTTCAGAATATTCATAGACTCACTTTCTGAGTCGATTTATACATGTCCGTATGTTCATGTTTTCCTGTGGATTATGCACAGGTCGCATTTATGATTGGAATTGGATAAAACTTGCCACAGCTCACTTATTTGGCCCTATTGAAATTGGAGAAAATCGGTTCAGATTTAAATACAGCTCCCATATTTATTTTGGGGTTTTATGTAAATGGAGCACCAAATTCCCAAAGTTTGTCCGATTGAGCCAACATTTTGCAAAGTTTCCTGAGTTAAGTACAGATTCACGTATATGAAGTTATTTTTGCACAACGTACTGAAGTAAGTACAGCGTAAATAATAAATAAGTATTAAGGTTTAAGGGGACCCGCCCATTCTCGATGTCAAAAAATTTTTTGATTTAATTCGAATCTACACTAATTCAAAAATGTCCCTGCAAAATTTCAAATCTCAAGAACTCTAGAAGATATAGCCGATTTATTGTGTCTGTATCAAGTGATGACTGAAGGGCTTCTCATACTTTAAACGCATTTTTCTCCAAACATTGGTTTTGCGAATGGCGGGCACGATAACTCAGAAACTAATAACCCAATCGATTTCCAAAAAAAAAAATTCAAAGGTCCGCCAGGACCTTTCTTTAATTACAAAAAACAACAACAAAATAATTACACAATTTTTTTGTAAATTATTTTTCCTCTCTATTAAATCTTCAAATATATATGTGCAAAGTTACAAACCTTAACAAGCATTGGTATTGCTTTACCAACCCATTTACCAGCCCATTGAAAATCTTGAAAAATTTAAATCGTGAATGGGGGGGTTCCCTTAATTCGACTCAGATTTTGATATAACTTCCATACATATTTTCGTGCTATTTCAAGAAATCGTGCACTAAATACCCTACCTTTGTTTGATTGAGATGAAATCTGGGTTATATTCATAGCGGTTAATATTTACATATATTTCTCATACGCAAGACCTATACTGCACATCTACACACTTGCAAGATGCCTTCAAACAATAGACAAGTCTATGCTACATTTTCAAATGTTCGCCAATTGAACTGTTGCCAAGAATTTTTTGAAAATGGATGTGCGCTGTTCTTTATTGCCACATACGCTATTATCGCTAAAGCAAAAACAACGTTCTTATCGACATAATTAAGGGGTTGCTAGTCCTGCGAAAAATAATGCCGTACACAAGTATGTCCTCACCGTAAAAATACTGGTATACAAGTAGCATACAATTTCTATAGAAAAGGTTGTCGAAAAGGATTTTTGGTACTGTACACAAATACATTTTTCCTTTGACGTTTTTAATGGTTATTGTACACACATTAAAAATGATTCGTTGGGTAATAGCTCACATGAAGATGGCGATAAGCTATTCAGTATTCAAATCACATAAAATATCATGGCTATGTGAAAACAGGAACTAATATTCTATATTAAAACATGAACCAACATATTCAATGGGTTTTTACATTTTGCGAAACTAAAATCTGAAACTGTCTTAAATAAGTAATTTCCTAGAAAACCGGTGAGGAAAGGCCTAGTTTACAGTAAACACAACAATATGCTTGAATTTCAATAACATATATCCTTTTCCTTGTCAATTAGTCTAACACCTTTTGAGCTTCAAATGAATGTATGTATGTAAATATAAATCACGTTAAAGCTTCGGGTGGAATTATTTATGGGAACTGCAGGTAATTCTGAATCGATTTAAGGGAACCCCCCATTCTCGATTTTTTATTTTTAAGATTTTAAATGGGCTGGTAAATGAATACCAATGCTTGCTAAGGTTTGAAACTTGGCACATATATATTTGAAGATTTAAAAAGGAAGAAAAATAATTTACCAAAATTTGTTGTTGTTGTTTTGTTGTTGTTTTTTGGGTTCAAATAAAAGTCCATATTTTCGATGGCGGGCATGATAACTCCTCACTGGAACATCGGAATCCGAAAATTCCAACTGTGTTAGAAAGAGGATATGTCTGGCTCTCGTATGAACTAGGATTATTGTCTTCGCACAACAACTAACAAAATGGCGGAACTTTGAAAATTTTTTTATGGAAAATCGCCTATTTTTTACCACAAACTAAGTTAAAAAATAAGGAAGATCTTCACCGATTGGCTTTATCCTAGTTCATACGAGAGCTACATACTCCCAGAGAAACGTGTCAAAATTTGAAACCGATTGGATTATTAGTTTTTGAGTTATCGTGCCAGCCATTCGTTTTGAGAAAAACGCGTTTAAAGTTTGAGAAGCCCTTTAGCCGTCACTTGATGCTGACACAATAAATCGGCTATATCTTCAAGAGTTCTTGAGATTTTCACTTGAAATTTTGTAGGAACATTCTAGAATTAGAGTAGATTCGAATTAAATCAAAAAAAATTTTGACACCGAGAATGGGAGGGGGGGGTCCCCTTAAAGTAAAGTTGGCAAGCATCTCTATTTGAAGTTTACTGATTTCCGCATCCATTGTTTTTAACTTTATAAACAAATCTAAACTTAATCATAAGACATAAATAAAAATAAAACTATTTTTATTCCTACAACAAAATTTTATTTGATTTATGTTTTACATTTTTGTTGTTATATTTAAAATAACACAATTCCATTAAAAATACAATCAACGAAATTATGACACCAATACAATAGAAACCCAGTGGCGAATAGAAATATTCCAATGTCAAGAGATGCTCAGGCGATTCCTCATCTCTCAGATAATGAATTTCACCACTTAGAATGCCATACCATTCCATGGACAAATGCGTTTTCCACAAAATTCCCGATGCCCAAAGATTTCGTAAATAGCGATTAAATAATTCCAAATATGGTAAATTGTGACGTATAGAGAAATATATGGGACAGCTATAGATGGCCGAAGGAATTAAATGTAAACGGGGCACCTTCAAATATTTCTGCTGAAATACATAGAACTGCAGTTTATCCTCGATGGCACTGTGTAACATATCTGTACTTAAATTTCGCCGTAAATTATCGAGGACTATGCCGTCCTCTACGGTAAATAAACTCACAATGATGGGTGATATATCGGGCAATTGTGTATAATAATCAATATCAGTCTGGGTGGCTTTGAAACGTAGGCTTGTTGATGCTAGGGCTTCGATGGTATCAATTTGTGGCTCATACAGTGTGCTGACCAACAAACTGGAGAGCATGCAAAGATAATAATTGATCATAATGAAATTGTAGACAATCAACAGGATATAGAGCAAATTGAAACGCAACGAACGCACAGGTGTTGCCAGTTGGTATTGATACAGGGCAATGCTGCAGATGTATATAAACGATTTCGAAAAATCCCAAATTGAATATTTCCTGAGAGTTAAAAATGCCACTACTGAGGTAGCTTCCACAATGACCACCAAATACTGAAGCCACACAAACTCATCGAATGGTTTATAGAAGTATTTATATTTGGCAATGGGTTGCGATTTGGGCACCATAATATAAATATTGGCATTCCATAAGACATCACTTGCATCATTGGTTCTATAGGGATATGCCGGAAACGATGTAAAATCCATATGACCCAATTGCATTGCCTCCATCAGCGGATCTTTGTCGTCGTCATCGTAATCATGGGGATATTCACGAAATGTGAAATTAAATTGTTCTATGAAAATCATAAGTATGCTATACATATAACCAACATAGGTTAGATTGCCATTTCGGTCGATGAATCGATAACATCTGGGTGGGCTTGAGGTTATTGGAAATGCAATGGGTATCGATGAAAATTACGTATTTCTTCTCTTTCATAGTAACTGGATAGAGATGTAAGTTTTTCCACTTTTATAGCAGGAAATCTATTGTAAACAAATAACGAATTGTTGCTGTAAAATAAAACATTGGTGTATCCATAATTCCAGCATTGCTCTGAAAAGCATATAACTCAGCCCACTTTGCCGACGGCACAATCCACAAAATATTAACAGTGTGTAATTTTCTCAAATAATATTTTGTCATATGAGCTAGGTACAAGAAATCGCTCACTATGTCCACATTCACAATTGCCAAACCATGCTGGGAAATTTTTTCATAAATAAATTCAGTTGCCAAAAGCATTTCTTCCAATTCTTTGCCTGCTTTATTCTCATGCCACATAATGTCCAGCGGTCTTGTTAAAATTATTCGTGGTATTTTTGTTTCTTTTATTATGCCTTCGAAATCTTCTGACATTTTGGGTTTCGTTATAAATAAATTCCATTCTAAATCGAAGTGCTCATTTAAATTATTGATTATATTATTGACATTGGAATCCGCCTGCTTCATATAGGTCAATGAAAAAACTAATGCCACAAATTTGTATGGTAACTTCATTTTAAGCGTTAATATATCCACACACTTCAATGTTCGATTATTAACTAATTGCTATTAACAATAAGTGACACAAATTAAAATTTCGATATAAATGTTGTCGTTTTGATCATTCTGCATTCCACGATAAAACGATGGGTATGCTTATTTTGTTAATGTGTTTGTAATAATTGGAAATATAAGTATTTTCTATACGGTAGATGAACAAGGTTGACAGACACAACTAAGTGAAGTATATATTAAAATAGTCATAATGTATAACGGTACCTCCATATTCGGTATGTTGATTCCATATAACGGTACCTTATATTCGGCATGTCGAAGCCGTTGGGAACATTTTTCAACAGTGTTTAACATTTAATATAAGGATTCCAATTGAGCAGAAAATCTCGGATTTTGATATAGCTCCTACATATATATTTCGTTCGATTTTACACGAAATTGTGCACTGTGTGCCGAATTGAATCTAGAATAACCCATGCTAATTGTGCTTTAAACCGGTACGTGTTAGGTACAACATTCATATAAATTATTTGACCCATGAAACGACTGACGAAACGGCTGAAGATAGAAGGTTAAACTGTTGATTGTGGGATGTTGTTGGTTTGCAGGCGTGATATAAGGCTGGGTTTTTGGAAATTCGAACCATAAAGATACGAAAATGTACTAAATATGGTACACTCTGTATTAGGCATAGTTAGAAAGATGTACAAAAGCGTTTTTTGGAAATTCAACGTAAAAGTGTGCGTGTATATATTAGGTTGGTGGAAAAAGAAATCCATTAGTTTTATATGAACTATAAGACTTTATTTAACATGCTTCGGAATGACAGATTTGGGCCAAATAACACCGTTTTGTTGTATGATTTTTTGCTATTTTAAAGGTAACTTCATAATCTCTCATAGAAGTCCTGCTCTCTATTTCCAAAAAACTTTAGTAACTGATTTTCACAATCCTCCCTAAATACCAATTTTTATCATTAAAGAATATTTGCAATGCAGGAAAAATATGATAATCGCTTGGTGCCAAGTCCGGACTGTATGGCGGATGCATTAAGCACATATATATATTTGAAGATTTTAAAAGGAGGAAAAATAATTTACAAACAATTTTTGTTGTTGTTTTTTGTTATCAAAGAAAATAGAAAAACGCGTTTAAAGTTTGAGAAGCCCTTTAGCCGTCACATGATGCTGACACAATAAATCGGCTATACCTTCAAGGGTTCTTGAGATTTTCACTTGAAATTTTGTAGGGACATTCTTAAATTAGTGTAGATTCGAATTAAATCAAAAACATTTTTGACCCCGAGAATGGGGGGTCCCCTTAAAACTTCCCAACCAAGCTCGTGAAGATTTTGGCGACACATCTCCTGTTAGCCAATTCTTGTCGTTTCTGGTCAATTGCAAATGGTTTACAACAGTTTTATGGTCTATTTTACCTCCTGGGCGAAGTTACGACTGCTGGCATTCCGGTCAACTTCGATCATTTCTCATTGTGGGAGGTGTGTCTTTAACATCAAACATTCCTGATCGGAATCTACGAAATCAAAATTGAACATAATTGGCTGTTACAGTATCGGAACCATAAACACCATTCAACGTTGCCGCTTGACTTGCAATTTCGCCCTTGTCAAAGAAAACCCGTAAAATGTACCAAATTTTCTCTTTGTTCACTTCCATTTTCAACACCCTGTAACTCACAACTGAATGCACCAAACAAAGAACAGCAAAATATTTTTTTTTAGTTAAGGAAATTCGTACTTATAGGTACGAAAGGTACTAAATAATGTAAAATTTGAATTTGTGCGAAGGAGAAGAAAATTTAATACAATTTGGATTTTGGGTGAAGGGATAGATTTGGAAACCTAACATTTGGAATATTAATTGTTGTTTGAGCGTAGTATTGAGATATGGGGATAGTCTTGAAATTTGGTACTTATGTGTTTGAAAAGTGCTAAATGGAACTAAATTTGCAACCTGTAGGTATTTGCTAAAATATATGATTCTAATTCTGATCACTTTTGAATCTGTATAATGAAAATAAGAAAGAAATTTCGGAAATTAGTGCTTATGTCTATGAAGAGTACTAAATGGTAATAAACTCGATATTAGATGCAGGAATAGAGGAGAAATTCGGAATTCTAGTATAACAAGTTATAAAGCTTTCACGATTTTCATATGAAACATTTTTTGTTTTGTATTCCTGTTTTTGTATTATTTGGTTTGTATTCCTTTCCGCATATGAACTAGCAGGTATATTAGATTTGATATTAGATTACACATTTACATAATTTTATTATTCCAAAATTTTCAAATTATTTTTTCTTAAATTCAAAATTCACGATTTGCATAAAAATAATTAATAACATTACACCGAAACTAAATAAGGCTGTGGGTGAATAAAAATATTCCAAAGTCAAGAGATAGAGTACATCGTCATCCTGATCTTTAAGATAACGTATTTCATCAATATGCCCGAAGACCAGAGATTTTCAAATATCGATTAAACAACTTTATATATGGCAAATTATGGCGTACGGCAAAGAAAAATGGCATACTGTGTACAACGGGCTGCAGGACCCGTATTCGTGGAACTTTCAAATAACGTTGCTGAAACAAATAAAACGTAAGTTTGTCATCGAAAGCACTTAGAGCGGAAATATCACTTAAACTTCTTCATAAATTGTCCAATTTGATGCCATCAACGGAAACGGAAATTTCCAATATTATTGGAGAGATTTCCGAAACATATTGGTAATAATCAATATCTTGTTTGGTTACTTTTAGGCTCTAATTGGTTTTGCACACATCTTGAAAGGTTTCAATTTGTTCTTCGTAAATTGTTACCACCAATAAACTGGATAAAATACACAGTTAATAATTGATCATGATGAAATTGTAGACCATCAGCAGGATATAGAGAAGATAAAAAAGCCACGACTTCACTGGTATGGGTAGCTGGTATTGATATAAAGACAAACTGCAGATGTATATAAACGATTTTGAGAATTCCCATCGATAGTATTTCACATAGATGAATAAGACTAGATTTAACGATGCTCCAACAATTATGAGGCAATATAAACCCCACACCATTCCATCAAAGGGTCTTAGGAAATATTCGTATTTTGGTACAGTCATTCGTACATGATTATTCCACAAAACATCGGATCTATATATTGAGCTATTCGGATATGGGGGAAATGCTGCTAAATCTATACACCTAAGTCTGTTTTCACACGATCTTTTTGTACACGGTTTTGATATAACACGGTTTGAAAATTGAATATTTTTAACTTTTTTACACGATTTTATTCTATTTAGCACGATTTGAAATTTTATGTACTTAAATTTTTTTGTCGAATTTAATTTTTGCGAAGTATGTTCATATCATAAAAAAGTATTTACGAAAGAAAAAAGTCTGAAACCATCGATAGTATCGATAGTTTGCGAACACTAGCTTAAAGATTTAAGTGAATTCCCCTTTAGCGCATACAAACAATTTTTACTGGTCAAAGCAAATGTGAATAGCACTAATTTAGGGGAATTCCATTTTTTACATGGTTTTTTTACACGGCTTCTTCTGGAACCAATCTACCGTGTAAAAACAGACTTAGGTGTATTTCCATAAATTAAGGTCGCCACCAAGAGTTCCTTTTCATCGTTATGGTAATTGTGTGGATATTCAATGAATGTGAAATTGAAACATTTCACAAACGTAATCAGTATTTGGTACATATAACCGGCATACATCGTTTCACCACGGCTATTTGTGAATCAAAACATCTGGGTGGGCTTGAAGTTATGGGAAATTTCAACGGATATAGATGGTAATTGCGTAATTCCTGAAAATCGGTTCAGATTTAGATATAGCTGCCATATATATTTTCGTCCGATTTACTGTAAATTGTGCACCAAAGTCCCTTAATGTCTTTCGATTTGCACGGAATTTGTGTTATGAATTATGTCTAAAATGATATGTGTTAAGTTTCCTGAAAATCGGTTCAGATTTAGATATAGCTTCTATATCTGAGGAAATGAAAAATTTAGTATTGTTTGCAGAATGACATTTTTATGGATCCAATTTCATTTTACTGATCCTTTCAAAATGCGACGTCGGTTAGGATTAATTTGTTTAATATACCCAAAATGGTGAAGGGTATCATATAATCGGCACCGTCCGACTTTACTACATTCCTTACTGGTTTTTAGTATAAGGATGTGACATAAAATTTTTCTGCCAATTTGATTAAAAAACGTGTTGAAAATCTTCAAAATATTGAATATTGGGGGTACCGTAATATGGGGGCTACCCTGAAACTTGGGCCAATATTATTAGTTTTTGGTACGAAGATGTGCTATACCATGAAAACCCAAACTGCCAAATTACACCCAATTGGGTAGAAAAACGTGTCCAAAATTTCCAAAAAACTGAATATTGGGGGTACCGTTATATGGGGTCAAAACCATAACGTGGACCGATATATCCCATTTACAATATCAATCAATCTGAGAGTACTAGTAATGTCTGTTCAAAATTTCAGAGCTCTATCTCAAATATTGCGATCTCTATCGTGATTTAAACAGACGGACGTAAAGCGACATAGAGTTTTATCTGATCAGGTATATATATATATATATATACTTTGTTGGGTTCCAGTAAATATTTCGAGGTATTGCGGAATGAAATTTTATGGTGGAGGATATAAAATGATTATCATGGCCGTGTACCTCATAGAAAGCGGTACATGTGTGACATCAATCGACAGAAAATAATGGGCATCGCTAATACATAAATAAAAAAGGCCTCGGAATTGTAGGAAAAGGTCTAATTTTTCCAGTGTAAGCAGTTACACGCGGAGGATATGGAGGTACATGTATGTAGAATTCTAAACAATCAGTAAAAATGCTAAAAAAATATATTTGATTCAATACTCATTAGAGTTATATTTAAAATAACATATTTCGATTAAAAATACAATTGTAGATACTATAACACCAATGCAATAGAAACCCAACGGCGAATAAAAATATTCCAATGTCAAGAGATGCTCAGGCGATTCCTCATCTCTCAGATAATGAATTTCACCACTTAGAATGCCATACCATTCCATGGACAAATACGTTTTCCACAATATTCCTGATGCCCACAGATTTCGTAGATAGCGATTAAATAATTCCACGTAAGGTAAGTTGTGACGTATAGAGAAATATATGGGACAACTGAATATTACCGAATCGATCAAATGTAGACGAGGAACCTTCAGATATTTTTGCTGGAATGAATAGAATTGTAGCTTATCTTCAATGGCACTGTGCAGCACATCTGTACTTAAATTTCGTCATAAATTGTCCAAGACTATGCCATCCTCGACTGTAAACAAACTCACGACAATTGGTGATGTATCGGGTAAGTGCTTGTAATAGTCCACATCATTCTGGGTGATCTTTAAACGGAGGCTGGTCGTTGTCAAATCTGGAATGGTATCGATTTGTGGCTCATACAGCGTGATGACCAACAAACTGGAGAGCATGCAAAGATAATAGTTGATCATAATAAAGTTGTAGACAATCAACAGGATATAGAGTAAATTAAAACGCAATGAACGCACTGGAACTGTCAGCTGATATTGATACAGGGCAATGCTGCAGATGTATATAAACGATTTTGAAAAATCCCAAATTGAGTATTTGGTGAGAGTTATAAAGGCCACCGCTGATGTTGCTCCCACAATGACCAAAATGTGCAGAAGCCATACAAACTTACCGAATGGCTTATAGAAATATTTATATTTAGCAATTGGCTGCGATTTGGGCACCAATATATAAACATTTGCATTCCACAAGACATCACTTGCATCATGGGTTTTGTTGGGATACACCGGAAAAGATGTAAAATCCATGTAACCATTTTGCAGTGACTCCATTAATGGGTCTTTGTCGTCGTCATCATAATTATGAGGATATTCACGAAATGTGAAATTAAATTGTTCAATGAAAATCATCAGAATTTTATACATATAACCAACATATATATGATTACCATTGTGATCGATGAATCGATAGCATCTGGGAGGGCTAGAAGTTATTGGGAATGTTAAGGGATACCCGTGGAAATTGTGTATCTCTTTTCTATCATAGTACTCTGTGAGCGCCATCAGCTTTTCTACTTTTAAGAATGGGAATCTAGTGTAAGTGAATTTGGAACCATTGGAGTAAAATAAAACATTGGTAAATCCATAATTCCAGCATAGTTGGGAAAAATCATACAATTCCGACCACGTTGCGTTTGGCATATTCCATAGAATATTGACATTGTGTAATTTTCTCAAATGATATTTTGTCATATTGGCCAGATACATGAAATCGGCACTATCTTCAACATTCACAATTGCCAAACCATTCTGGGAGATTTTTTCATAAAGAAATTCAGTTGCCAGCAGCAATTCTTCCAAGTCTTTGCCTGTTTTATTCTCATGCCACATGATATCCAGTGGCTCAGTTAAAATTACTATTGGTAGTCTTGTTTCTTGTATAGCGCGATGCATGTCTTCGGACATCGTAGGCTTCGTTATAAATAAATTCCATTGTAAATCGAAATGCTCATTTAAATTATTGATTATTTTATTTATATTACACTCGCCATGCCAAATAAAGGTCAATGAAATGAACGTAAGAAATATGTATGGTAAGTTCATATCTTCCGTTGTTATATCCTCACTCTGCAATATTTGTTTGTTGACTGATGGCTTTTGACATGAATTGACACATTATTCACATTTCGAAATAAATATTATATCTTTAATCATACTCCAGCGTAAGGTACAGAGGATATAAAATTTGTCATTCTGTATGTAACACAAAGGCACTGTTCGGGCGATAGTTTTGCACATTGTGTATGTGAAGATTGACATATGGTTTCGTGTTATTTCAAAGACCGATATAGCTCGCATATATATTTTCATCTGATTTTTTGTAAATGGCGCAACAAACACCCAAGCTTCGCCAAAATTTTGCACAGAATACTACATTAAGTACATATTGACGTTTTTGAATTTAGGTACATGGTGTACCAAAGACACAAGGTATGTACGATTACACTAAATTTTGCACAACGTACTTAAATGTTCTGTCCTTTTCTTACTGGTTGATAATTTCCAATGCGTAGGAGACTAACTGAAACCTACAGATAAAGTGTTCTCTGGGATAAGATCCAATAAAGTGGAAGGCGATAATTAAAAGATATCGAGGTTCAAATCCCGTTCGAATATTTAACAGTATGTAAGAGTTTACAGAAATAACATTTGTTTATTCGTATTTATTTAAACAATAGAATAAAATTCCATAAAAGTATAGACATTTAGAATATATGGACAATATTGCCAATTTTTTTAATATTCCATTTTCAAAAAATCAGCTTTTTAGTTTTTGTGGCACATCAATGATTTTTGGTACACATATAGATAAAAACGTTATGACTCCGAAACCATTTGCAACCAATTAAATTAAATTACGCCGTTTATCATATTGACCAAAAACGTTGATATATATCTTCCTCCGTAAAATAAGAATATGAATATATTATAACAATCGCGATAAAGTTGCACATATTCGCGAAATATGAGAAAAATAAAAAAAATATAGGAGATTACATCAATATGTTCATTATATTAATGACATATACACACCTAAAAATTAATTTAAAAATATCTGCATAATCTAAACACCATGATGAATCAAATTATATCAAAATCACACAAGTCCGTGTAGCGGTTTGTAAATCACAGCGACAACAAAACAAGATCGCGAAAAAATAATGTCATCATATTTATTTTTTTAATTGTATACAAGAAATTTCAGAAAAAAATGTTGGGGTTATTCTCCTATTTTACCCGAATTTCGCCGATAAATTTACAAATATAATAATAATCACTTTTTGTGTATAAGTAAACGCCTTGCGGATTACATCAAGACCCTTCCGATAAATCTTAGGGTTCTGTAAATAGAAATGAATCTTAAAATAAAATAATATTATGAAATATACATTTTAAGTTGCGTCTAAATCGCGTAATTCTCAAAATCATTTATATTTTGAAGTACTGAAATTTCATATATGACGAAATTTCATTTGACGGCTAAGATGTGCCACACGTTGCAAAAAATTGAATAAGAAAACTCCATATGCCATTAACGCGCATCCGATTTCGGTGTGCACCCTAAAAAAAAATACATCGATCTATACCGATTTCAATGTGGTCCATGAAGAACCATGGATGTGCCAGCTCACACTATTTTTGAGATAAATTGGGTACATCTCTCTTTCAGCTGAAGGTTTTAAAGTTCTCTTTTTGAAAAAGATCAAAATCCGTATGAGATCATTTATTGAAGCGGAAATGATCCACAGAAAATGCAAATAAATCCGCTATATTTTCAAAAACATTTTTTGCTAAATTTTGTGGTTTTGGTAGGCCAGTTCCCGCCGTTCTAGTAGACGTATTTTCACGAAGAAGATTTTATATCATACGAAACGTAAAAAACCTTATTGATCGTAAAATTTAGCCCGAAAAATAAGTTTTTTAGAAATTTGATCGCACCAAATTTTCAAATTCGGATGAGTATTACTCTGAATACATATCAAGTTACGCAGAATCGCGACTACAATAATCTTATAATCGATTTTTAGAAATTCCTGACTGCGTATTAAAGCTAGAAGTTAAATTAAAAAAAGCACTCAAAATCGAGCTTCAAAATGTCTGCATCATTTAAAGGCAAATGCAGTTAAAATTTTGAAAAATTATACATAAGGGGCGTAGTCCCCATTTTGTTGGCTTCTAGCTTTACTTTGACACGAAGACCGTGAAATGAGTGGCTTAAACACAAATCGATAGAGAACATAAAAAACTGGTTCGCCTCAACCTGTTGTTACATTTTTTTTTTACATTAAATTAGACACAGCTTCCACCAAAATAAAGTTTGGAGGTCAATATCCAGATCAATGAACCCAAAACTATTAACTTTTTTAATATACTTAAGTAATCCCCGAGTTATAAAGGGGTGAACCTCCTCTTCAGCTATATTAAAAAATTGGCAATATTTCCCATATACAATATAAAACAGAAAAAGTGAACTCAATACTATCGGTTGGATCATGCGAACACTTGGAACTTTCAAGTGCCGCTGTTGATGTAAATAAATTTGCAGTTTATCATCGTAGGCATTTAGGGTTGACGTGATACTTACATTTCTTCTCATATTGTCCAGAGTGTTGTAATCAACCGAAACGGAAATGTTCAAGGATTACCAGGAAGATTTCGGAAATTTTTGCGAATAATAGTCAATATCTTATGGGTTGTCATTAGTTTCCAACAGGTTGTATTCAAATCTTCAAAGCTTTCAATTTGATAATTGTAAAGGTTGTAATTGATCATGATAAAATTGTATACAATTAGCAGGATATCGCCACGATTTCATTGGTATGGGTGTTTGTATCCAGAAAATTTCACTGTTTGGTGCGCGTATGGTCTTATGATAACCGACATTTTTCCTGCTATAGAAGAATGCCACTTGAAAATATTTGGTTTCAACAAGACGGTGTTACATGCTACACAACTTGAGCAAATAGGGTTTTATTGCTAGAGACTCTTCCTGACGACGTAATTATTGTTCATGGCGATAATAACTGACCAGCAAGATCATGATATTAGGATCATACATTAAACTTTTTAGGGGGCTACACGAAAGACAGATTTTATTCAGGTAAACCTTCAACTTTTGAGCACTTTCAAAATCAACATTCGTCAAGTTGTGGCTGAGATACCTCCAATATGAAACATATTTTAAATGTGTGTTTATTTACGTTCAATTCTGAAATCATTATGTACCACATCACACCTTACTTATTTCGTAACATGCAATATGGAAATACCCAGCAACGTACACAGGATTTCATTTCGGGGGGGGGCCCGGTAGTATAAAATGAAAAAATTCGCTGTTGCTAACATAAATTTACTGTGAAAAAAAAATCATTTGCGCCCCCCTGCGTACGTCCCTGGAAATACCCATATTATTTCTTTAACAAAAAACTATATAACAACTTTACCTCTTACGACTAATTCTGTGCGACTTCAAGTCATTAGGAAAATTAGCAGTAGGACTAAAACACAACGGCTGGAAAAATATATTTTATTTTGAAATGGAATTAATTTTGCTGTTCATAATTCTTTTACCTCACATCATCGTACTACTACGGACGAATAACAATTCATGGCAAATTATTCATGATTTCAATGAAAATTTTCACATCGATTGGAATTTATTAATAACTCAACAAAAACCAGTAAGGAAAGTAGTAAAGTCGGACGGGGCCGACTATATTATACCCTTCACCACTATGGGTATATTAAACAGAACAATTAACATGAAATTGGATGAACTAAAATATGTGATATTTATCGAAATGTGAAAATCGGACGAAACTATATATGGGAGTTATATCTAAATCTGGACCGATTTTCACGAAACTTGGCAGACATCACTCTAGGCTCAATTCAGTATGTTATGCCAAATTTTGTGCAAATCGAAATATATATAGGGACTTTGGAGCACCATTTACATAACATCGGACGAAAATATATATGGGAGCTATATCTAAATCTGGACCGATTTTCACGAAATTTAGTAGTCATCACTCTAGGCTCAATTTAGTACGTTATGCCAAATTTCGTGCAAATCGAAAGATATTTAGGGACTTTGGTGGACCATTTACATAAAATCGGACGAAAATATATATGGGAGCTATATCTAAATCTGGACCGATTTTCACGAAACTTGGCAGACATCGCTCTAAGCTCAATTCAGTACGTTATGCCAAATTTCGTGCAAATCGAACGATATATAGGGACTTTGGTGCACCATTTACCTTAAATCGGACGAAAATATATATGGGAGTTATATCTAAATCTAAACCGATTTTTCCCAATTTCAATAGGGTTCGTCCTTGGGCCAAATAAGTGAACTGTGCCAAATTTCATCCAAATCGGATCATAAATGCGACCTGTACTTTGTTCACAAAAATACGTGATTGGACGCACGGACGGACATGCGTAAATCGACTCAGAAAGTAATTCTATGCATATTCTCAAAAGGAACTATGGGTCTATCTCGATTCATTTTGCCTGTTACAAACATATGCACAAGGACATAATACCCTGTACCACAGTGTGGTGAAGGGTATAAAAATCGGATGATATTGAAAAATTACTTCAAGAAACTTCAAGACCTGTTGTATTGATTGCATTGCCAATGAATGAATCCGAAACATATAAAACAATAATTTGGAATGAAAGTGAAAATAAATTTCGATATGAAAGTTTCAACGAATATAGTTTGGTTATTGTAAATGTGAATAGTGAAGACATAGTGCTACATAATTTCATTTATATGGCCAATGTGACAAGATATGATTTGAAGAAATTGCATTTTGTAAATATTTTATGGCTGGTGAATGGGGTAAACCTACACGATTTATTATTTTACTCGGAGTTTTGTTGGAACTATGGAT